AGGCTGGCCATCTTTTGCAACGAGCTTGAGACTTAGTTTACTTCCTGAAGAGTCCAGAATGAAAAGCCCCCGGGCAGCCCCTTTCTGGCCAAGTATCCACACAGGCAGCCAGACCGGGCCCTGGCGGTGGGGGATGACCAGGGCTCAGGACCCCTCCCTTCTCTCCACAGATGCTGCCACACCGGCCGCCTGGGCCTCACACACGGGCCCGGGGCTGCCTCTGCCTGTATCAAGGGGAGCAGGACTGTTTAGTCTGCTGGGCACATTCCTGAATTTTTCAAATAAATAGGAGATTATGAGCAACTCAGCCTGATGCTGTCATTCGGCCAGGCCAGGGGCTTCTAAGGCGTCCCTAGGGAGGGGCCTGCAGGCATGGCAGGTTAGAGATGTTTGATGAGACTGGGAACTGCTTCTAGGCCTCTCTGGCCCTCTCAGCGGTCCCAGAGAACTTCTACTACTAATAACAACAGCAATGATAATAATCACTACCGCTGTTTGAAAGCACTGATGATGTGTCAGGCACAGGGCCAGATTATTTATGTATATTCTCTCAATCCTCACAATAGTTGCCATTCATAGGCCCATTATACAGATGAAGAAACTGAGATTTAGTGCAATACAATAACTTTCTCAAAGCCACACGCCTAGTAAGTGGCCATAGGTTGAGCGAAGAGCAGTCTGACTCCCGTGCTCCAGCTCTTAACCGCTGGGCTATGCTGCCTCTCCAAGCCTTGAAATAGACGGCAGCATCCCATGCCCTCCCCTCCCAGCCCCCCGTCGCCAGCCTTTCTGCTGTTCCCAAGGCCCTTTCCAGCCTGCATACAGCCATTCTCCACTGCGACTCCCTTTTTCCATTTCACCCTTCGCTGGATCATTTTATGCCTCTATTCCCTCTGCTAATTCAAACTAATTAAAGTATAAAATAGAATAATTGCTTCCATCCCCATACTCTTTTTCTATCCACCCAGAGCAGAGTTAGGTTCCCTTTCTAGGAGTGGCCAGCCTGAGAAGTTGGGTGGAAACTGGGGCTATCGAGTTTCTTTTCATCTTGTCGCTTGGTTTTCCACTTGGCTCGCAGCCTGATTTTCCCCGGACTTGCTGTCTGACTTCCATTAGACTCTGAAGATATGGGGGTGACTTGTACTCCCTCCCACAACATCTGTCTACTCACTGTTGAGGAAACTGGGTGGACTTTCTAGGGAAGAGCCAGGCATGTTACCAGTGGAGAGCTTAGGCAAATAAGAGGATTGGGGAATGGGTTCCCCCAAACTCCCCTGGGTCTGGCTGGCTTCAGACATATTAACAACATATTAACTCAACTTGTTAGGCAGTGGCACTAATGACCCAACACTTCTGATTAGTCCTATTCCATTTTTTAATTACATTTAATCAACACATACACACACACACACACACACACACACAGAAAGAGAGAGAGAGAGAGAGAGAGAGAGAGAGAGAGAGAGAATGAGTTATATTGAATTTTCTTAGCTCTGTGGGAAAATGAAAGCCTCTATAGGTGGACCTTAAGATTTGAGACTTCATTCTACTCTCACATGGTGTCCTGAATACAATAGGGTGCCATGTTTGGGGCTGGGGAGGGGAACAGAGAGAGCAGAGCTGTGGGGGACAAGGTGAAGACAGGGGTGAGAGTAGGCTGCCTGGAGATTTATCATAAAGTGAGGTGACGGGAAGGCCCATTCCCATGATGTCTTGTAAGGTTTCAGGTCTTCCAGAGAACTCCAAAGCCTCCAGTCACTGCCTCAAAATAGAGACACACTTATCCACAACCACCAGCATTGCTCCCTCTCTGCAGTGTTCCCCCTTCAGGGAAGAAGTCCGTATGAGTACACACGGCCTCGTGAACTTTGAAGCCCGTCTACTGTGCTTTGGTGTTGTCTTCTGGAGAGAAGAGTCCCGGTGCCAAGACCTTAGATAAGCCCCTTTAAGATCTAAGAGAGACTGGAGACTAGGATTGATTCCATCTTTATAGGTGAGGAAACGGAGTCTCTGCAAAATTAAGGGGCCAGGCCACCCAACTTGTTAGAAATGGGACCTGGACTAGAACACAGGCCTCCTGATCAGCCTGGGGCCTCCTGGGTGTGCCACCTGCCACTTCACTTCCTTCTAATCACACTCATTGTCACCACCCTCCTGAGTCATGGAATCAGAGAGCCTGAGATCCAGAAAGGGCCACATAAAATCTTCACATCGACACTGGAAACCAGATTCCCATCTGTGGTCCCCACTGAGCCTCATGTTGACCCAAGACACACTGAGGCGAACTGACTTATAAAAGGCCGCCCAGCTAGAAAACGTTGAGATAGGATCCAAATTGGAGCTTTGGACTTCAGAGACAGCCCTATTATCTGATGCCACTCCTTTATTTTATAAGGGAGGTAACTGGAGCTGTGCGAGGGCCATACTTCCGGTTAGAGCGAACGCTGGGCTAGAACCCAAGTCATCTGACCGCATTTTCATTGGTTGTTCTGTTGACATACATTAAAGAGCTTCCTTTAGGAGGTCCGAGCTGTCTGTCTGTGAACACTCTGTGCTCATAGCTGCTCAGACTCAGACAGATGGGCTTCCCGAGCTGTTCTTGGCCCTCATCCCTGGCCCCAGCCCCTGGTGAAATCACCTGGCTACCTATTTCTACATGATTTACAGCTCCCCGGGCGACAGGCCTCAGAGCTCCACCACAAATCCCCCTTAGACTCTGCCTGCTGCTCATAGCTCCACCTGGTATATGTCACCCACTAGAGACAGCCCCATGGCATTCAACCCAAACTATTCCTATATCTGCTCAGCGTGACTGGCTACTACTGAGCCCCTCTGTCTGATGCAGCTGCGGCAGAAGGATAGGACATTTAGAAATAAGTGACATCGACACTTGGTTTAGCCAGAACTGATGCTCTCAAAGGTGACGCAAGAGATGGCCTCAAGAGGCCCTTATATTCTCTAACGGCCACTCATCAGCCCCCATCCCTGGCCTAGGTGTCTTTGGCCACATTTCAAATGCAATTTCAGAAAGCATCCTATTTGAGAAACAGATATGCACCCGAAAAACGGATGCCTTGACTAAGGTCTAATTGGTCACTTCGATTTGCTGTTTCTGTTTTTCCACTTCAGTGGGCTCAGAGCTTTTACCCAAGAAAGTGCTTTTACCCAGGGTTACCCACTGGTCCTCAGCCATACATAATGCCTTTTGCAAATATCATGTATAATGGGGGTCTATTTGATCCCTCAGACCATCCTTTCACCCACCCATCCAGACTGCCATCTATCCCTCCCTCCCTCTATCTGTCTGTTTTCTTGTAGAAAGTGTCTGGAATGGTGTTCACCAGATGCTAACAAGGTGTTACTTTTTGGGTAGTGGGTTTGGGGACTGGTTGTTAACTTGTTTTCCATATGTACTGTTGAAATTTGTATAGTGAGCATCTACCATTTTTTTTAAAGAAATAACCCTTGGTTTATAAGAAAAAAATAGGAAGAAAAGGCAGAGTATTTATAGATTTAAACCTGATGTTATAGATTTCTGGGTATGTGTCTCTCCCTCGTTAGACTGTAAGCAACTTCAGGGTAGCGATTGAGCCCCGTTCCTTTTGATATTTTCCCAGTACATTGTTCCCAATAAATATATTTCAAGTAATGGTTTTTCAGGGCTCACCAACTGTTTTATTGGAACGATAGGTCAGTGTTTACTTCCAAGACTGTCTTTCCCACTGAAGGTCAGGCAGAGCCTCCTCCAGCTCCACCAGGTTCCCATCTGGACCTGTTTATGCCTCAACTGCAGGGGCCACATGAAAGGAGGTAAGAAGACAGGTGGGTTCAAGAGGATCTGGATGTAATTTGCATGTCATTAGCATATGATTTGTGCCGTCTATTCTCCAGAAGTAATTTTCAAGTTAGAGCTGCATCACTGCTCCACCTCATGCTGTCATGTGCCCATTCGCCTCTTCGTTCCTCCCTCCACTCATCCATCATCCCCGGAGTCAGAATTCTTACATTCAGAGAGAAAGGAGGGAAAGAGAACTCTGGGTGACGCTGATCAAGGACACCTGGAATCCTGGCAGAGTATTTTGAGAATGACACACGAGCTAGAAGGCACCTTGTGAAAGTTTGCTGGACTTCTAGCCCAGCATCCTTGTCTCGCCTAAGTCATTGTCCTCAGCACCAAGACAGAATCGCAGTCCTTTTTCTCCATCTTTGGCCTTTGTCTTGCTTACCGTGTTCAGGTCAACGTCAAGACCACCAATGCTGCTGAACAACTGCTGACCCACTTACTGAATGAATGGATAAAACCAGCCTTTCCTAAGGACTTTGCTTTCTGCATCTCCATTGATTTGGAGAATCCCCCATCTTGCCCTTCACCATGGCTCTCCTTACATTTGCCTTCTCTCTGCTCACACATATTCAGAGCAGATACAATCCTGGGAAATAATGCTCTAGCCCAGAGGATGGGGAACCTGGTCAGCAGTTGCCCAGCAGAGGGTAGAATTCTATTTCTCAGGCAGAGCTTCAGCTTCTCAGTGCTGGCCGGCTTCTACCCTGCCTCATCTAAGGCGCAGGCCAAGATTTTTATCTCCTGGGGGGAGGCCCTCTCTTGGGTCTGTCTCTCCCAGGATTGGGCCCAGCCCTGGAGGCCCGGATTATTTACACCTCTCTGGCTCCCTCAAGCAGCAGACTCTGTGGGCCCGGGAGCAGTAAATCTACCTCCTAATCGCACCAAGCTGCTCCGCGCAGTCTGGCCCGTTCCTGCGGGGCTGTTCATCACGCTCTGCGACAGGGGCTGTGGCCTAGAGAGAAGCCTGCGGGAAGTGGCTGGCCCCCGATGCTTCTCTCTGGCTCCCTGCAGGAGCCTCCCTGGACTCTGCCTCTCCCAGGCCCCTGAGTAGCAAGCCCAGAGGTCTGCCTTGTTCGATGCAACAGCTTCTGCATAAAGGTCACAGGTTATCAGCTCCTCTGGGCTTCAGAAAGGAGGGGTAGGCGCCAGCACTTACCTGTCTCTCTGACATGACGTACAGGTAGCGCTGATCGGTGGAGAAAGGCCATGTCCCGGAGGATGGGGCTCCCGTCTTTGAGCACAGACACCATCTCATACTGAACCCCGCCATGGGGGGGACCATCAGCTCGAATCTGCACAAGAAACAAGGGCATCCTCAGCATCTGCACTCAGCAGTCTCCTGTGGGTGGGCCTCAGCCCTGGTAGTTTTACAGAAGATAATCACCCCCATCCCACCCCACCCCACCACCAATTGCTGCCCTGACCCAGGCGAGGCTGCAGGGAAGACAGAGGTGCCCCTTAGCTCAAATAGACCAGTTCCACTAAGATGAATCCTTTCCCACGTGCTCTGAGTATGCAGAGTCTGGGATTTCTATTGGTGGCTTTATTTGTGTGCTTGTCATAAGCCCTTAAGTGTGATTTTGAATATTCCAATGTGGTCATTCTTGTGTGTGTCTACAGACATTTATAGCACAGGATGATGAGTGTATGTGCAAGTGAGTGTGTGCTTGTGTACACTCATTTGTGTTTGGGGTGAGAGAGTCAACATCTGCACAGGGTTTCTGTCTCAGGCACGTAAGGGGGAATAGTGGGACAACACACAAACCACCAAAAAGCTGGCCAAGAGGTGCAAGATTTTTGGATCTTAGGAAGGTCTGTCTGCTCCCAAACAGCCCCTGAATGTCTGCAGATCCACTCGGTGAGATCTGGTGAGCCAGGAATCCCAGCTCCGGCTCTCAGAGCCCATCCCAGGGTCATAAGTCAGAAAGGACTTGGACGTCATCTCGTCCAGCGCTTCTCAGTCCTGGCTGCACATAAACATCATCTGGAGAGTTTTAGAAAACATGGATGTCAGGGCTGGGTCCATTCATCAGGATCTCTGTGGGTGGGGCCTGGGCATCCTTTTTGCATTTCAAAGCTTCCCAGGTGAATCGAATGAGCAGCCAGAGTTGAGAAGCACTGATGTAGCCCCGTGGTTCTCAAAGCCTGAGAATCACCAGGGGAAAGGGTTGGTAAATGCGTGGCTGGGCCCATGCCCAGAGTTTCTGATTCGGTGGGAATAAGGCCTGAGAATTTTCATTTCTAATAAATTCCCAGGTGATGTGATGCTGCTGATCTGAGGGTTTGAGAAGCACGAATCTAGTCTAAGCAGTATACGTATACAATACTGAGACTCGGTGGGGAGATGTCCCTAGGTTAGTGATGGCGAACCTATGACACGCATGTCAGAGGTGACACGCGAACTCATTTTTTGGGTTGATTTTTCTTTGTTAAATGGCATTTAAATATATAAAATAAATATCAAAAATAAAAGTCTTTGTTTTACTATGGTTGCAAAAATCAAAAAATTTCTATATGTGACACGGCACCAGGGTTAAGTTACGGTTTTTCAAAATGCTGACACGCTGAGCTCAAAAGGTTCGCCATCACTGCCCTAGGTCATCCAAAAGTTGGTGGCTGGGGTCCTTGGTTCGAATGTGCCCCCATCCTAGGTTTCTTGTTCCCAGCAGAGCAGTTGACTGTTGACCAACAATCCATACCGGTGGCTCATTTCTTTGTCCTCTACTCCTGGAAACCCCTCTAGCTCAAGCCCCATCTCCTCCATGAAGTCTTCCTCAATCTCTTCCCCACACTAATTGCACTTCACTCAGATGCCTTTTTTCCTACCAGACATTTTGTCCTAGAATTATAATCAATTGATCTGTTCATCATATATGTACTAGCCAACGTGTATTGGTGACCTATTTAAATAGTTATCTAATTGCTTCACATGTGCAGATGTCCATTAACATTTCTATTTCTCTTATAACCCTCTAACCCTGAGGACTAGAATGGGGCTGGGGACATAGCTGTGAATGGATAGAAGGGAATGCTTGAAAAATACTTGTTGGAAGGACATGAACTACAAACCCACTGATAAAGTATTATGGACTGTTTTAGTGCCAAATCAAAATGAAGTCAAAAGACATTTTCTTCGGAAGATTTTAAGATTAAGCCTTCCTATCCCAATTCCCTTTCTAACCATCTCCTTCCCTCTGGCCCTTTCTCCCACCCCATAGAGAGAGAGCTCCCTAGGGGAGGACATGGCTTATTCATCCCAAGGGCTGAGCCTGGTGTCTGATGCCACAGGGAACATGTCAGGATGGACAGGTGGAGGCATCCTCAGTTCCTACTGGCCGAGTAGGGAGGGTTAAGAGCATTACTTATTGCAGAGTTGGGGAAGGAGGACCAGTGCTTCCATTCCTATTTCTCTACCCTCCTGACAATGGCCTACTTGAAGGGCCTGAGCCAGGGCATGGTCTGAACCTGCTGCAATGGGATTGGACTGGAGTGGGCGGGAGGTAGACCATAAGCCCACTGTGAATGGGGAACCGTGTGGCCCTGGATTTCCTAGTGGCAGAAACAGCAGATTCCTGCCTGAGGCCTTGTGCCCAGCCCCAGAGTGAGAACAGTAGAGCAGGGCCTGGAATCGGGGATATTGTTTCTTCTCATCGCTTTGATGGTTGAGATGAAGATGAGGAGGTAGCCTCAATGGAACCAAAGAAATTCTGCTCTTAGGCATTCCTACCCAAGTACCTCCCTTCGTGGGCAAGACTCTCCTGTTTCCCCTAAGCTTCTCCTTTGCCTCTTTTCTGCCTGGCTAGTAGCTTCCTGCTGTTCAAAGCTGTTGCCTTGGCAACTGTCACTAAGCCCCTCCTTCCAGGGGAGGGGCCAGGCACCACTGAATTCATTCTCACAGGATGGAGGAAGACTGTGGGGTCAGTGATGATGCTATGCGGCTGAGGCTACTACCCTGCACCCTGAGCAAATCTGATTATGGACTCAAGGAGAGTGAAGGGCCAGGGTCTTTATGTGGGAAAACACCCCACCATTAAATTGGTTCCCCTTAGCATTCAAAGCAGCACTCTCTCTCAGATGGACAGATACCAAATTTCCATGAGACTCTTCCAGAAGTGGTAGCTTTTAGTCACGAAAGTTCTTGTGCTGTTGCCAGAGGAAGAGGGAAGAGGTAGCTGTCAGGACTCCTGGTTGGCTTGACCTCAGCCTTCTATCTCTACATCATGGGAAGTCCCGGCTCCGTTCTTCCTCTCAAGAGGAAGTGTCCAGTGACTCTCGCCACCCTCCCTGCGACAGCTGCTCCTCTCCTGTGAGATTCCAAGGCTCTGGCTCAGGCCCAGGAGCTGCAGAACCTGCCCCCTCCTTCCGGCCTGGCCTAGGATCTCTCTGCCCGGAGGCCAGTTACCCCTCTGCCAAGCAGAGCAGCCTCCCTCCCCAAAAGCCTGGGCACCTGCCTGGACCCCCAGCAAGGCCTGGACACAAAGTCAGAAGGAGGAACACCACATGCCTGACCCTCCCTCTCTGGTGCCTGGGACTAGATGGCACCCACGACGAGGTTGAAGCTGGGATTGCGCCAAAGACACCTTTTCATCACATCCTCTGCAGCATCCCAGTTAGGACCAATCCCAGCCATTCACCTCTTACTGAATCGGAGACCTAAGCAGATGTGTTGTGTTTTGTTTTTTATTCCCATCTGCAACCCCAATCTTTTAATAAACCAGTTAAAGCCAGAATCAAATCTGCATAGCGCTCAAACGTCAGAGCTAAAACCAAACCAGAACAGAAAATGTTCTTGGAGCTGAACCTGAACTAAGCTATCCTATTGCATTCAGTCTAAATGCCCCGAGAGAAGAGCGGCACTGCCCAGGGAGCCCAGCCCCCCCTCTGACTCTGACTCTCATTCCATGCTGTCTGCCCCCAGCTTGTGTGACTCTCCCAGAAACCTTCAGGAGGGCAGAGAATATGGACAGTGGGCCAGGAGGCCGTGGGGGGAGGGGTGCGGGGGGGAGGGTGTCAAAAAAAGGGGGTGGGGCCAGGGACTGGCAGGCAGAAGGCAGGGGAGGCCAACTGGGCCACAGAGGTCTTTCCCTGCCCTAATTCCCTTTGCTCCCTCTGGCAACACACCGAAGTGGGCAGAGCACCGGTCTGCGGTTCAGGGTTCCTGGATTTCTGGTCTGGCTCTGTTCTTGCCTGGCCTTGATTTCTGCTTACGGGTATACGTTTAGGTCCGTTACCTTGTCTCTCTGAGCCTCAGTTTCCCCCTCTGAGTAACAGGAAGAAGCAATCTGCTTGGGCCCTGTCAGTGGAGAACCACAGACTGTACGATACTGCTGAGATACAAGGGCTTTGGAGGACACCTCATCCAAACACTTCCATTCAAGGGACCCAACTAGTATCGGTGGAACGGGGGCTCCATCTGGCTCTCAGCCGGTGTGATCCAGAGGAAGCGTATGGCTGAAGGGGGCTAGGGGCTAGGTAGGAGGGTCCTCCTGCAGGGGGACCTCTGTGGCCCAGTTGGCCTCCCCTGCCTTCTGCCTGCCAGCCCCTGGCCCCACCTCCTTTTCTTTGACCCCCTGGCCTCCTGGCCCACTTTCCATCTTCTCTGCCCACATTGTTCTGTCTTGGATGGAAGGGTTGAGTTTCAAAGTTGTCCCCCATCCCTGCCAGACCCAGGGTGATAGTGAGGGGCTGTCAGAGAGTCCCAAACAGAAGTGGGATTTTAAAATCCACCTGGTTGAGTCTATTGTGTGGTGGCCCACAAAATGATAGTTCCATTCAGTTTTAAGCTTGTGTCCCCAGGGCAAAGTTTCAATGCCCAGAAGACAACAGTAAACTGAATTAGGCCAAGACCACACAGCTAATAAGGGTGGTAGAAGGAGATTCATTTACACACAAACCTGTGTCTCTCCTAAGAAAGGATAACACTGGGCCACTCTAGCTGTTCATTGCGGCTAAAGGTCCAAATTCTCTCCTTGCCCACTCTTACTCCTTCAGACCCCAAGGCCAAAGTGGGCCAGTCACCTCTTTCCTGGGAGGCAACGATAAACTCCAAATCTAATTTGGTTGGTGGGTAAAAAGGCCATTTCTCAGGGATGGCGTTGGGGCTGTGAAATCCAGGGGAGATTTACTGTCCTTTCCCCAGATGGGAGGGGCCTCTTGGAAATGAGAATGAAATAGTAATCCTATTAGTAGCTTCCCTTTAAATCACAGCAAGGTCTGTGCAGAAATTAATGGCAGCCTCTTTACTTGAACATCCAATTCAAATCAGCATATCCAATTAACTAGCTTTACCTAC